TTTGGGTTTGAATTGTGTATGTTAGAGTGTTGTTTTTGTTGCCCTTTTTCTTTGTATGTTGCAGAATAGTTTTCGTGATGCGCTCGATTGATAGAAATATCAGATTTTGGAGTTGGATTTGTGTAGATAGTCAAAGTAGGTGGCAAAAGTTCAGGAATTTGGTCTCAGTGTTGGCAACTTTAATAGCTAATAATGATGATAGTATCCTTATAAATAGAAAAGCTTGGATATTGACAAACAATACTTTCAAATCCAATATGATTACGCAAGTAACAATAGTCCACAAAGGTTTTATACTTTCAAAATGCTGGATTTCAGGCTTACAACATTGTTATCAATACCATTAAAAATGTATGCAATTGAATTGGTATTCATATCCATCGATCTCCTTTTCATCGAAATGAGGACTCTTTACAAAGTGGTGTATGGAATCAAATTTGGATACCGTTGGACTCCTTGTTTTACCATTTTCTCTATTTCTACTACTTGACTCTTCATATTTTTATTACAAAAAGTTGTTATTTTTGTATTTCTAGTAGTGAAAGTTGTGAACTCTTATTTATGTATGACTTATGTCAAACACAAAGTGGTATATGTTATCAAATTTGGATACCATTGGACTCCTTGTTTTACCATTTTCTTTATTTCTACCGCTTGACTCTTCATATTTTTATTACAAAAAGTTGTTATTTTTGTATTTCTAGTAGTGAAAGTTGTGAACTCTTATTTATGTATGACTTATGTCTGTGTTTGATAAGACAGAATTGCGTGGCAGTGGCAATGTTATTAGCACAGTTGATTTTGTGTTTGATGAATTTTGAAGACTTCAATGAGAGCACTTGTAATTGTTTCATTCTTGATGAAATCATTGTAGTTACAAAGATACTGCATTTGGTGTTGCAATCTGGCCTTCACCAGATTCTTTGACCCATTTGGTGCATATACTTTTTGTTCAAAACTTCAGAGGATGCAATTTGTTGAATAGTTACTTTGTGTCAATTCAACTGTTACTGTTTGATCGGACTAATGTTATTCAGTCCAAAAAGCTTTATAATTGAGTTCATAGCATATCCTTTTGCAGGCAGAGACAAGATGGCAAGTGGGAGCATGATCTATACGAGGATGATCCTCAAGTTTCAAGTATGGGCTATGACACTTTCACCTGCAACTAATACTTCAGCTATGGCTTTATGCCATTGAGTCATCTTTCTTTGGTTGCTGACTGTGTGTTAATATCTTGTGAAGATCGGAAAGTCGATGCTCGGGACCTTCGATTGAAGCTCCAAAGGAAAAGTTTCAAAAAAAGTGGAAATCGATCCCTTTCAGGTGTAAGGGACCTGCGCGAAAAGCTATCTGGTACTATGAATCCACAACCAATGAACACAGATCCACCAAAACCAAAAGTGGAGGCTGCCAAACCAGCCAGGAGAAGTATTGCTGTTGGCACCCCTGCAACAGAGACTAAAAAAGTGTCCAACCCAGCTCCTAGAAAGAGGGCTTCACAAAAGGCGAGAAGTGTTTTATTTTTTGTAAATTCATACCAGTAAGCACACACTTACACTCGGTGTGTTTGAGATTGCTCTCTACATCTGATTACTAGAATTAATATAGTTAGGTTCATCTTTACTACGTTGCTCAAGAGGAAAACGTTTCGATATTTAAAATGTTTCACCAAGCAGAAGTTTGCTTTACGACATATGACATGTTGATTTTAGATATGTGTTGACCCAGCTATCTTTTCCATTCTCTTTTTTAATTTCTATTTGTTTAAGGGGCCACAATGGGATGGGTTTGGGAATAGTATGTATATAGCAGTTATTGGGTTTACATTACAACATCACAACATAGAAGTATGAGGTTTCATTAGGACTTGATTTTAAATATTGTCTTCATGTAGAACGAATAAGCAGTTTCATACTTTATTTTGCACCAGAAAGGGTGGCCTGAAGGGACTTTCTAACAGGCTTCTTAAGAAATAAATAAGTAAGAATAAGACTTCTTTACAATACTCGGCGTGACAGGAAGAAATCATTTCATGAAGTGGTTCATCAATTGTTGGTGGTATACGGATATTTTTACATTGCAATGTCTTTAAGTAAGCATAAAAGAAAATTCATTTTGTTTCTAGATTGAAGTATTGAGTGTCTATGTTCCAATATCATTATGACAGTTGCCTCTTAATTTCATGACCCATACCTCTTTTGGTACAGGCTGGTTCATCAGTGGATGAATTTTTGACGTCCTTGGATCTTGAAAAATACTCCATCACATTTCAGGCAGAGGAAGTAAGCAGATTATAGCTTTTTTTTCTTTCTTTTTTCCACCACCTGCATTTGATTACTTTCGAGTGCTCAATTCCAAGTGTTTATGCAGGTTGATATGACAGCTCTTGTGCACATGACTGATGAGGACCTCAAGGCTCTAGGAATACCAATGGTAAACTCAACCAAATTCCCAGATAGAATTCTTGAAACATGAATTATGAATATCGTATCCCAATAGGCAATATATTATACTCAATTGTTGTTTTCAAAACTAAGAAATCCATACTTATTTTACGTCGACTTTATTGTTACTGAACCTTTGGTATGCTCTGGTGATTTGAAGTATGCTAGTTTACATGTTTGTTTTTGGGTGCGTGTCAGAAAACTTTGTACAGCCTATGTTTCAACATGCAAGAGTGGCATAAAAGCTTTTTGAAGTTATTTTTGAATCACTAGGAAAAATTCATTTATTGTAAAGCATACATACCATCCTCACAATAGTCTAATAAAATTAATTAGTATTGCATGGTTGAACAATAGTTACTTTCCTAACATCAGTCGGATGTCGTGGAGGTTAAAATAAAACAGAGAATTTCAAACACCAATTAGGGCTATCATTAATTAATGTTGAGGACGGTGTCTGTTCATTTGACCTGAAACTAATCCTGTTGCGTTACAGTTGTTTCAAACAGTTAAACTATTTGTTTTACTGAAATTCATTTTTTATAACACTGGATCAAAGAAAGATTAGGCTTGGGCACACCATTGTCCATGCCTCAATGGTTTTTTTGTTGTAGTTTTTTTTTCCCTTAATTTTGCTAGAACTACGCGATATGTTAGTATCCTTCAATTTCCCGTGATTGTGTATAATGTAATCGTGATGAACATACAAGCAATTTGAGTTTTCGGTTTGATCAAATGAGTTTTGGCTACGGAGCTCTGAGCTAACCTTTTTCCATCTGGGGGTTTCAGGGCCCAAGGAAGAAGATACTTTTGGCATTGGAATCAAGAGTCTGACACTTGAGGGTGGACTGTGGAGCCGTTTCATCGCCTTGTTTCATCATGTTTAGTAGACTCAGTCTAGCAGGCTTTATTGCGATTGGTATCAACCTGCTTGTAACTTTATTTTACCCCTCATATTTTTTTTCCCGTTCGTTCTAGTACGCATCGCTGTAAGTGGCTTTCAATGTGCTCATTATTGATATAAACCTTGTGAATTTGTTAGCTTGGAACAGCCCGAAATTTAAATTTTATCGATGTACTCTGTTTTCTCCCTAAATCTAACTTGAAGATGATGTGTTCCGTCTACCGATACCTTTACTTTTTACTGACCAACTTGTATTCCTATGTGTTTTGCTCTTAGGTGAATAATTGCGTAGGAAATTTTTGAAGATCCCCCATGGCAGTTTTGAAATGGAATGTATATTTGGGCAAATAAATCCCTATTGAATCTGAAAAGGGAACCGAACGGCTAACACTTGAACAAATAACTCCGCCGCCCTCAACACCGCAGCCTCCTCAACCCTGCCGGCAACCCAAGCGTGCCTCCACCTCCTCACAAGGAGGATCCTCATTCGTCTTAAAAATGAGTAAAACAATCCTAACGTGGATTCAAATTCAAAGCACGTACTCAAGAAGGTCATCTTTTGCCCTTTTCGATGCTTCCCTTCCTTATCACTTTGTCTACTCCCCAAGACCGCAAGAAACAAGCATATATCACGAGAGCTGGATTGCTTTTTGATGTCTTCTGGCCTCCTGCCCTTCGTGTCGACTATGATCAAGATGCTTTGTTCACTTTGGTCTTCCGTGCTAACTACCTCTTATTTTCCTGCTTGTATCTTCTCCATTCTCGTAGAGCTGCCAGGAGAACGTCTATTGAAACTGGCAGGAAGATTAGCATAAGAAAACATAAGATGATGAATGCATGATAACTAACTGGAGATACAAAGCTATATTAGTCTTAGAAATCAATGGGATTTCCATGGATTTGTATATCAATGGGATTCCTGCATGCAACATCTAAGTCAGAAATCAACAAATAGAAATTGGAGAGAGAGATGAGGAGAGAGACAGAGAGAGAGATAAAGAGGACCGAGAATGAAGGAGAAGAGGACTGAAACGGTGATGATCAGGCGCTTGAGTCCTGGCGTGATTCTGCGCATCGTCTTGGGATCGAAGTCATCTGCTGGCTCTAGCGGTTTGGATGTTTCTGGGGTTTCCTTAGGAGGGAGGAGAGGCTCTGTGATTTCCGCCATTGTTGTGGAGGCACTGTAGCTCTGAAGCATGTTGCTTTACAGGATTCCCCAGAATCAGGAGGTAAAGTAAACTAATAGCTGCTCTTTAAATGAAATCCTTTGTGGTTTACTGTCGCAAATGCCGTCTTAGCTCAGCCGGTAGAGCGCACGGCTTTTAACCGTGTGGTCGTGGGTTCGATTCCCACAGACGGCGTTTTTATTTTTCCATCTTTTTATTTTGTTGTTCTGCTATTGAATTCACCCATCATTTCGAGTCTCATCTCTTTTACCGCATGACATGCATTGGATGAAATTAAGCGTTGAAATGCATACTAAAAATTTCTTTCTAAAATTATATTATGCTCTGGTGTATAGCATGCACTAAATAAATAAAGCGTTGAATATGCCAAAATTCAATTGCTAAAGATGACAGTGTATGATATACACTGATGCATACTAGAAAATCTCAACTTAATTCTATAAATAACGTTCAAAATAGAATGTAAAATCCTTCAAAATTCATTATTCATTCAGAAATTAAGCACTTGGTAGCCTCCAACCCATCCATACAAGTTACTACAAACAAGGAATCTACTTAGTATATAAAGGAAGCATCAAATTTTTGTTTGCTCCAATTTCTCAGCCATTTTCTTTGCTTCAGCCTCTCCCTTAGCAACCCTTTCAGCTTGGCTTCCAGAAAATTTGCTCCTAAAGAACTCCACGTCTTCATCTTTCTGCGAAACAATAAGTTGAAAACAATTACATTACATTTCAAAAACCACAGACAATGGATACAGAAGATTATACATGAACATGTTACCAATTCTTTGAACAAAGGCTCTGGTGTCCCAATCTTGTGACCATCAGGTAATATTTCCCAAGGCTTTCTTGCCCTTTCAACATCCTCGTTGCAAAGCGAAAACTGATTTTCGGGTGGCAAATTGAGCTGCTTTAGCACCTGTTGGACATGAAAAGGAAAAATTAATACCAAGGTGCTAAACATGGAGTGAAGTATTTTGTTTGTCCTTAATCTGCTCGATACAAGACATTTTTTGTACCTTGAGAGAAAATGAAGGCATGAAAGGTTCCAGCACACACGCGAGAAGATAAACGAGTCCTGCAGAAGTCTTGATGACAATACAGCAGGAAGCTTGATCTTGTTTGTAAAGTTTCCAGAACTGGTTCTCCTGCATTACATATGGGAAACCTTTATTCATACACTGTCAATAATTTGAAGAAGAAAAACTGAGATTTTACGAGCTTACTTGTAAATATGCATTTCCCTCACTGGATATGCTCATTGCAATTTTCAGTGCTTGCTTTAGCTTGACCTATACATATCGCTGATTGTGAGATGATGTAACTTCTTAGTCAAACAAGATAGTGCAGAAAGGAATTGAGAGACTAGTTTCAGATATAAATTGCCTTCTCCATTGCTTCTATGTATTGATCCACATATATGCCGATTCTCTCTGCCAATCTTTTCGTCAAGGAATGTGATTCTGCCCCCGAAGCGTCTGGAATAATAGATCCATATCCTTGTCCTGCAGGAAAAAGGTGAAAGTTCACATGAATGCCAAAATGCAAGAGAAAGCAGAACATGGTACATAAATTTGATCACGATATGTTGATCGAAGAAGAAAAAAAATGTGATACAAGATAAGTAAAAACAGAAATGTAAACAGAAGTTTTGAACTTCCGTAAAACGCAAGGAAATTGAAAACTTCGAAGTGAATTCAAGTAAACTCCGAATTATAAATTCTTTGTTTAGCGGATTACTGACCTTGAGGTTTTGCAATGAAGCTCAATACCCGGTTAATGAAATTTCCCAAATTATTCAGCAACTCAGTGTTTAGTTTTGCTTGTAAGTCCGCCCATGTAAAAACGGTGTCTGAGACCTAATCATGATTAAGGAAACAGATAATTAAGTAATAACCATTGGAATTTTCAACTATCCAAGTTCAACGCAAGAACTGCAAAATCACCAGCAGCTGAAGAAAAAACAGATTACCTCTGGCCGGTTAGCTAGCAAATAATATCGCCACACTTCTGAGGGAATGTTTGTTTCTTGCACATCATTGCCGAAAATTCCTATGCCCCTACTCTTGGAAAACTTCCCTGTGGCATCGATCAATGACAGAAAATGAAAAGAGAAATAGAAGTATGAGTTGAAACTTTAAATGGTAAAACTTTTGCGAAGATCATCGCAATTCTCACGCGCAATTACCTGTTTCATACATCAGATATTCTGTGACGCTAAGGCTCTTCATCAGTGTCCAATTCTCTCCGGTTCCAAGAAGCGTAGATGGAAACATAACCTGGAATCAAATTGCACCACAAATAAACATTTCAGCAACAAATACAAAGTTACAAACTTCCAGATAAATAAGATGAAATCTTTACCGTGTGGAATGGCACATTGTCCTTGCCCATGAACTGGTACAGCTCAACATTTTTGGGGTTCTTCCACCACTTCTCCCAATCGGGCGTGTAGCATGAAGTGATAGAAATATAACCGATAGGCGCATCAAACCATACATAAAAAACCTAAGCATATCATAAATTGGCAAAGAAAAAAAAAGTTACCAACGTGCAAATTTCTAGTAAACATTAACAAAGGGAAAATCACCATTTGTTAAATAAATTAAGTGCTAACCTTGTCCTCAAATTTTTCGAGTGGAACGGGAACACCCCACTTAAGGTCCCTCGTCATACATCGCACCTTAAGTCCTTCTCTAAGCCATGCGTATGTAGTTTGAATAGCGTTCGGGCTCCAAGATCCTTCAACTGACAGGTTGTTGACAAATTCTTCCACTTTATCCTTCAGTAAAGGGAGCTCTAGAAATAAGTGGTTCGTCTCTCGTATGCATGGCCGTGCCTGACATGCCTGTTGATTACAGTTTCGAGTACAAAACCAGGAAATAAGAAGCTGGTAATTTCGACGAAATCCTAACAAATTAACTGTAATGAAGTATGAAATCTCAAGGAGCTAAACATACTTTACATCTAGGATCCTTAAGCTCAGTTGTATTCAACAGCTTTCCACACTTATCGCACTGATCTCCTCGTGCAGAATCATAGCCGCAATCTAGCGTTGGGCAAGTGCCTTCCACTAGCCGGTCAGCCAAGAAACGATCGCATGTTTCACAAAACAGCTGGATTGTTGCCGAAATTCAAACCATTTAGATACAAAATTTTCACTTAAGTAAGCAGTAAAGTGATGTAAATTTTCACACGAGCAGTAGTACTAGTACATATATACCTGCTGAATTGTGTTCTCGGAAAAATATCCGTTCTCCAAAAGTTTCTTGAAAATATGTTGGCAAATTTCTGTCTGTTGAGGAGTTGACGTGCGTCCGAATTTATCAAAACTTATATCGAACCACTCGTAGACCTGTTTATGAATTTCATAGTATCTACAAAACCAATTAAGCTCCGTAATTAGTAATAAGTTCATACTGCTATTCACTATCCGAATTTTTGTCACAACTTACTTGTCACAAATTTGCTGTGGAGTACAATTTTCCTCCCTAGCTTTTGTCTCGGTTGCAGTCCCATACTCATCAGTCCCACATATGTATATCGCATTGTACCCGCGAAGGCGACAGTATCGAGCGTAAACATCAGCACTTAGAACACCTGCATCATGTCCATATACGATATACAATCATAAGCATGCATACAAACATCAACCGCAAATCACGGTCTCAAACAAATTAAATTCAAGAACATGTTGCACACGTGAAACTGCGATTTGTGTATAAATAAAGCGAGCTAAAACAAGGCGAGGAAAGAGCAGTAGTTGGGAATTATACTTACAGCCAATGATGGTGCCAAGGTGAGGGATGTTGTTGACATAAGGGAGGGCACTTGTGATGAGTATGTTGCGTTTTCCGGGTACCGGCAGCTTCGGATTTCTTTGGGAGTTGCCTTCCCCGCCGTCTGATTGATCGTCCATGATTTGATTACTCACAAAGAGGTTGTTCTGCGTGTTGTGGCTTAACAGAATGTTGGTTGCTTTAATATTCACAAACTAAATATTCTCCAAATATATGCTCAAACAAATAGATGCAATTTGCTTCTCCAACTTTTGGTAATGGAATTTGGAATCTGATTTCTTCTTCTTCTTTTTCTAAGTTGTGGGATTATGAGTAGACCAACAGAATTTATATAATTTTTCAATTGGTTCCTTCAACTTTAGAGCCAAGAAGACTGTTCTTCTTTTTCAGCTTAATTTAATAATTTATATATGAAGTGATCGGAGAGAATTAAATATTAAATACAAGAAGCGAAAATGGTGACCCTAACCAATAAAGCTCCTGGCTTTGCAAGGGTCAAGGATAATGTCTATCGTATAGAGCCTTACTCATGTTTTGCGAATAAGTTGTTTCTATGACTTGAATTTGTAATCTTTTACCAAAAAATGTAAAAGAAAATGAAGTAAATAATTGTCTTGCAAGCAAAGAAACGTGGGGGTCAAGGAAGTGAGCTTTCTTGCGAGCAAAGAAATTGAAAACTCGTCTAACTCGTGTCCATGCAAGGGAGAATGAGATTTCTAAGACGAACCCTGTTTATTTCCCTGCGCCAAGTTCTTGAGTCAAACAATTTAGTATGATTTAATTTGGTTCAAACTCAAAATGTTTATTAATTCTCAAATTCCAAATCAAATATCTAACTTGTATAAAATCACGACAAAGCCCAAATAGTACTAACAAAATCCGTACAAATTAATAGATTAATTTAGCTGATCACATAATGTCATATCTCAGCCTGAGACTTATACGACTCATCCATATCTCATCAATCAATGCTAGCACATAGGTCGGAGATTGATGAGATATAGATGAGTCGTACATGTCACTATAGGTGACTCTGACTTATGTGCTAGCATTGATTTATTGAGCACATGATTATTTATATTGCTCATGAGATGTTGGATTTACTGTTGGTATACTTTTGATTTTACATTGATACGTGATATGATTTTTTTTTAAGCTATACAGGTGTTACAGCAAGGGGTTATAACGATTTAGAAGGTTTTTATTAAAATTTTATTTCCAGGGTCACTCACCCTTGCTTTGTTTCCACCCTCTAGGTTTTTTTAGCTGAGCTTTCTTATCGACGAGGATTCGGGGCAAATCTTGGTATTGGAGATTACCTTCAATGGTATGATTCTTAATCCACCCTACTCTACTTTACTTATACTCTGACATCACGTGTGAAATTGGTTCATTTCCGCTCACAGCACACTCTCGTATTTAGACATTTTTAGATTTAAATTTATTCACATTTTTCCCACATCACTATATTTTATGGTTTCGTCACCCTCTTGGTGTCAGCCAGCACAACTCGATTTGGAGTCCAAATAGGTTGTGGTGTGTCACATAAAGCGTGCATTTGTTCGCTTCAATTCTGTCAAGGATACAAAATTTTAGATGCAATCATAATAAATTTAATTTTTAATTCCAACCAATCAAATTCAACGCCAAAGAATCTATGGCTCGATCGAGAACATATTTGCCTCAATAATTCAAACGTATTTCCAAATGTTATCCAAGTACCATCACCAAAATCCCAAATAAATAAAAACAATTAATTAGATAATTTAAAGGGAAAAGAGTTAATGCTGTAAGAAAGGATTTGGACCAAATTATTCTGTCTGTTTTTTATCTGATCGAATATTATGTCCTAAACTAAAAGAAAGTATGATATTCGCTCAAAAGAAAATCAAACAAATTGCAAAAGTAAAGTAGGAAATAATAATCTCTCTTTTGCAAAGGCTATAAACAGTAACCTAGTAGGTGTTAACAGAATATCAAGTTTTAGCTTCCCATGCATAGATGCAGTTACTTCCATGGCCAAGGCGCCTCAGAGCTCTCCTCTTATCCTGCACGGATAAGACCTCCATAGCTAAAGTCCATGCTCTTATGATATTGACTAGTACCCTCGCCGATGGAAGCTTCAACGCTCGACTCATAGCGTCCTACGCGCGTATTGGGGATACTGTGTCCGCCTGCAAAGTGTTCGATAAATTGCCTCAACGAGGCGTGAATGCATGGAATGCCATGATAGTCGCGTATTCTCGGCAAGAGTACCCGTCTCAAGTTTTAAGTTTATATCATCAGATGGTAGCGGATGGAGTTAGACCTGATAGTTCGACTTTTACTGTCGCGATTAAGGCGTGCGCAAGCATGTTGGACTTGGAGATTGGTGAGGAAATTTGGTCTAAGGCGGTGGATTGCGGGTACGAACGTGATGTGTTTGTGGGATCATCTGTTTTGAACTTGTACGCCAAGAGCGGGAAGATGGATGAAGCAGTGGTGGTGTTTGAGAAGATGCCTAGAAAGGACCTTGTTTGTTGGACAACAATGATAACAGGGTTTGTGCAGAGTGGAAGGCCAATGGAAGCAGTTGAGATGTTTAGGGGAATGCAACATGAGGGAATCGAATTTGATGGGGTTTCGATGACGGGGTTGGTACAGGCTTGTGCAAGTCTTGGGGACTTGAGATTGAGTCTTTCTGTTCACGGGTTTATGATTCGGAGAGGTCTTCGTATGGATGTTATGGTTCAAACCAGCCTTGCCCATATGTATGCAAAGAACGGGCATTTGGAGCTAGCTTATAGGGTGTTCGATAGGATGCCTTACAAGAATGCCATTTCGTGGGGTGCTTTGATTTCCGGCTTTGCTCAAAATGGCTTCGCAGGGCGTGCACTCGAAATGCTAGTAGAGATGCAGGGCAGTGGATTTGAACCCGATTCAGCGTGTCTTGTGAGCGCGCTTCTAGCATGTTCACAAGTAGGGTTTTTGAAATGGGGTAAATCCGCACATGCATTTATCTTGAAGAGGCTTGATTTTGATGAAGTTTTGGGTACTGCAGTGATTGACATGTATTCGAAATGCGGATCCCTTTCTTACGCACGTGCTCTCTTCGATCAGATTATTTCCAGAGACTTAATCTCGTGGAATGCTATGATTACAAGCTACGGAATTCATGGTCATGCAGAGGAAGCTCTAGCACTCTTCCTCCAGATGACGGAGACAAACATAAAGCCCGATCATGCTACTTTTGCTTCTCTTCTTTCAGCCTTCAGTCATGCAGGCCTCGTACAAGAAGGCCAGTATTGGTTCGACGTCATGGTCAATAAGTACAAAACCACTCCGGGGGAGAAACATTATGCTTGCATGGTTGACCTACTGGCTCGCGCCGGACGAGTGGAAGAGGCTTATGAGCTAATAAATTCTGTGAATACTGAACGTGGCCTTGCCGTTTGGGTTGCCCTCCTGGCAGGTTGCCACAATCATGGGAAGTCGTCGATTGGAGAGATCGTGGCAAAGAAGATCCTCGATTTGAATCCGGATGACTTAGGAGTTTACGCTTTGGTCTCGAACTTCTACGCAATGGCGAGGAAGTGGGATGATGTAGCAGACATGAAGAAGATGATGAAACAGAGAGGAACAAAGAAAGTGCCTGGTTATAGTGTTGTGGAAGTGAATGGAGAGCTCCATGCTTTTCTCATGGAAGATAAGACACACCAACATCATGGCGATATCATGCAAATCCTGAATAAGTTGGATCATGACATGAGAGCCATCGGATATGTTCCCAGGAATGAATTTCTGTTGCACAATTCGGAAGACGAACATTCCTTCCAGCAAAGAAAATTTATCAAAGTGCTCTAACAGATTCAAATTTCCGTGTGCATATCTATTAATCGAAAGGCATCGTGAACTAAATCTGGGAGTGTACGTTCTAATTTCACGAGAATTACAAAATTTTCAACAACTTTCCGGCAGGGGATCAGACAAGAACATCACAAGTAAGCAAAATACGTCTCAAAGCTCAAACTGCGGCGGTGTTTCAAAATTACCTGCTCCTATAACCTAGAGACTGAGTCTGAAGATTTTGGTTGTCTTCTAACAAGCGGTCATATTCGAGAAGTAGATCTGCAGCCTGTTTTTGGAGGGAGGCAACATGGGATTCAGCAGTTTCGATGCTTTTATCCTTCTCTGCACATTCCAATTTCAGCTTCTTCAAATCCTCTGTTAGAGTTGAGATTTTGTCTTGCAGCTGCTTGATTTCTTGGGACGATTTATCTTCCTTTTCTTTAAGCTGTATCTTCTCTTTCTGAAGCCTATCAAGTTCTTCTTTTGAAGCTCCCACGCTACTCCTCAATCCAATTAGCTTACTGAGATAATGGTGCATTCGATCAATTATGAATCCAAGAAATAGGGTAAAACCTGCAGGCAAGATCGATTATCGATTAGCTTACTGAGATAATGGTGCTTGATTTCTTGGGTCATCAGGGATAGAAAGGATCATTCACTGGAATGCAAACAACAGTTCGGACATCAATCCCAGAGCAGACACCATGCATGAAGCTCTACTGTCAGTTGCCCAAGAAGACTGTATAATCAACTTAAGCATTCCCTTTTCCGGTAACCAAAATCGTCTTCTTCCAGAACATGAAAGCGATTACTAGGTGTACAAGGACAGAGAGGCCGGACTAGCAGCAGCAACCAAGGGTAATGAAGAATGGAGACACCAAGTATTCAACCAGTAGACAGCGATTCTGAGGATTCGGGACACAGTCCAAGAGAGAGATGGAGTCATCTGGTTGCCAGGTTTGCATCATTTGACCATAAAAAGAGAGAGGAGCAAGAACAGTTCTTAAGAGTGAAATTAATTAGGGTCATTCCGACAATAGGAGAGAAACCTGCAGCGAAACACATTTACAATGGATGGTGATAGTACGAGGCCAACGTGAAGATTTTATTAATGAATGGCTAATATCTTGTCGCCCCCATGCCTATTTACCTAGTGGATTGAGTCCTTACATTGACGATAGTCGCACTGTAGATTGTGAGTGCAAAACTTAGGTCGCAATTTTTTGATTGAATTCAATATAATTTGACTTGGTACTGAACTACTCCTCGTGCGTTACATACAGATTTATGATGTCACATCCTAGAAGATATACAATTATGCATGCAAATACTTGATTATTATTAAGCTATCGGAAAAGGAAAGGAAATGAAAATCATAAGAACTAACACTCCTAGTGATATGTCTTTAACAAATGTATACGGGGAACAAGGAAAACCAATGAAATTAATTTCACATTAAAACGGAAAAACCAACAAATACTGGCAAACTGGCAAAGGGTAGGCAACTGAAGGAAAACCTTTATATCTTATATTTTCACTTTCTTAATTAGTCTGATAAGCGATATTTAAGAAAATGAAAATATAGGATACTTCTTACCAACTACAGCTTGAATTTTGCTAAGAGAACAGAACAAAAAGGAAAAGGAAAAACCAAATAAAAAACGTCTGTATATTGAAACAAGTGATCTTTTCCACCCAAACGATATGATTTTCGCTAACGATTCAGATATCATCTTGAGAACTTTCATTTCAGGTTAACACCACACTATACTGAAGACTTACAATTAGACCAATTTCTAGTCCTTACTAGATCCACTAATCAAAACAACCAGTTTTTTCAGGCAAATCTTTTTAACACAGTCTAAAGAAGCCAAAAGATCCTTGCAATGTATAAAGAATTATTGACGGGTACATCTGTAAAGCCGAGGGTTAATCATGGTCCAACCAATTGCGAGAGAATCAATAGATTCTTTTCCAGGAGCGACCCCCTTCTCAACAGAACCTAGTGGCAACAACCTTAAAAGTTTCTTGTTTATGTGCAACAAAACTAATTGTGCTAGAGAACTTCTACTTTTCCCTTGGTGGACTCGTGTAATAATCCACACACTCGTACACATTTGTTAACTTCCAATTAAAACTGTTAAAAATGTATAGTCCCACATCGAAAACGCGAGAAAAAAAAATTCAGTAGAACTTATATTGAGTGGTTCCACCACTAATTGCATCGAGAACTTTTGTACAAAATCTACGGGCCAGGTGATTAAGTTAGGTTCAGTATCGGTGTTCAATAGTAGTGAGCCGCTAGCCGGTCTCTATGAACTCTTAACAAAAACCCATAACTAAAGCAAGAAAACCCTAACTAAATAGTAACCAAAACACTCAAAACTACTAAGAAAACAGTGAGCAGGATTGAGGAACATACCCAACAATGAAGCTTCAAGCAGGTGGGTCCTCCACAGAACCTGATCCATCGGCGACATCGTCCCAAGCTTCACACCTTTGTTCTGGATCTTCACAATGCTGATGAAGTCGGAGATTAAAATCACAGACATGGTCCCGGCAATCGTTTTTATGGTGGCCGGACCCTTACCCATTTTTATCTGATCCAAGCTCTTTATTACCAGCTCCCTCAACGGCCCAATTTTCACCAGCAGAAGGAATGCTACAACCCCCTCGGCGAAAAGCACTACGAACAACAGCTGAATCATCCTTCCCTGCTTCCACCAAAAGCTCTGGGTGTTTTTTTTTTTTTTTTTTTTTTGCTTGGCTTGTGATGGAATCGGAACGGCTTCTCAGAAAAGCAGCTTCATTTCTCGGCAGGCAGAATCACAGATCCATGGAGTTGAAAAAGCAGCTTCCTGACACTGTAGCAATAAATACTGGCTGCAACAACGGATTTCTGACTGAAAATCAGATTTTTTTGGTGATGGGTAATGATATTTCGAGGTAAATAGCAAAACCCAGTTGCTACAAGCTGGATTTATCGACAAAAAATGGGGTTTAAGGACACAGATCTAGGCTTTTTGAGGGAAATGTAAGAAAGCAGGAAGCTTTTCTGCAGAAAACCATTTGTTAATTAACTTAATTTGGTGGCTTTTTCTGTAACTAGGCGGTGTAATTTGGTTTATTTGCAAATGGGTTTTGCTTTAAGATTAGGGGATGAAAAGTAAAGTTGTTTTGCAGAGTCAAAAGCAATGAACTTGATGCGTAATTGAAGGCAAAAAAACCAAGGAAAAAAAAAAAAAAGAGATTTGCGTAGCTTTTAGCCGGAGGAAGAGCGGGACAAGGGTTGTCTGCCTCTCACGTCCGATGCTTTTTCATATCTTTCTATTTTATATAATTACGGTTAAATTATGTTAATATTCTATATTATCTTTTATAAAGATAATGAGATAAAAATAAATAGTAATATAAAATGTTGATTTAGCCTAACCGTGACCATACAAATAAGAGGGAACGGAAAAGCACCGAAAGTGGAAGGGCAGACAATCTTTGTCCGGAAGAGAGGTGGGAGAGAGATTGTTGAGTACTGTACTTGTTATTGTGAGTAGAAGCTGCAACAGCTTGACTTCGACTGTCGAGAACTGAGAAGGTCTCGCTACTTGCTACACATACTTTGACATTCAACCAAGCCATTATTTTGTCACATATATTCATATGCCACATTTTGCAATTGCATGCTAGTATGCTACCAATTTGACTATTTATTTATATGGCATTTGTTTGAAAATGCAATAGAAGAGGGTCCAATGGGCTACTATCTACGTTATGGCCACAAGCATGAAGCTGGGGTTCGTTGGTTATATAGAAAGGAACTTTAATAAAAAATTCTAGATGTTGTTCATTTTAACGAAAAATTATATTTTTACACTAAAAAATCAATTCTAGTACTATTTACTTTACTCTTTATTTTGTCCTTATTGTTAAAACTCAAAAATTTTAAACCATTTTCATTAGTTTTCCTTATATGAAATCATCCACTTTCATTAGTTTTCAGATTTGTAAACGTTCATTGACTCACTCTTTTGTCATTTCAAGTTTTCCTTGGCTTATGTCGAATTAGTAAACATGTCATCAATGTTTTGAGTAAGAAAAAGGGAAAAAAGTGGTACAAAAATATCATCCAATAAAAAAGATTCTTCCAAAACAGCCTCATCATTCTGAATGATAGTTAAAAGCTTGTTTTGCTTATTTGGAAATGCTTTTAAACAAGCTAAAAGCACTTTTAGTGAAATGTTATTGAAATCAATCTATAGTAAAAGTGCAAGTGAATCTTAGAAAAACTTGAAGTGCTTTTAGAAACTAAAAACGTTTTTTCTAAAAGCACTTTCACTTATGTTAAAAGGATTTTCAAACAAGTCATATTTGTATTCTTTGAATACGATAAAGTTTTATCATGCTCGGGTGCATGGTATTTACTGAAGTGCATGATATTTACTGAAGAATTGAAGGTATCAAAATCCTATAGTCATTCCTATTTTCATTTTATCAAAGAATCCAAAGCATGTAACAATTTATAACTCCGCTACACTCTATGCTCTGGTGCATAATACAAAAACTATTGAATAAGACCGAACTTTGACTATGAAACGATGATTTGTCACAACACCCACCTTAAACATGTATGTATAAAACAATCCCATACAAACACCAAGTTTTTTTCTATTAAGTGTACGAATAAAGTTAAAGTGGAAGATTAGTGAAACTAATGAGGGCTTTCTATTTAATACAAACTTTATAAAAGTGATGAGATGAGATGAGATGAGATGAGATAAAGAAAAGTTGATGAAGGATTAGTGGGAAAGATTGTGCAATTAGATGGGAATACAATCTGGCCGTTATCCCAAAAGACAATGATTCTTTATGCAAAAAGGCACTACAATCATACAAAAGATGCACCATTTGTTATGTAGTTGGTCATTTTGTGCGAGGCTAACTAAGAAGCAAAAATATCAACGTGAATCCAAATTACTCCAGTAATCTACAATTCAAAGATGATATATAATTTTGGGTGTGACTGATGTATAGGTACAGTGTTGGTTGAAACCTTCTGACGGTCAAGTCAGCAAACCTAATCGAACTAAGCTAAAGTATTAGATACATTACATAGCTTGTGTTGTTTTGAAGCCCACGATTAGCTTAAACCATTACTGTGGATTCAAAGGTGAATCAATATTTGAACTCATATTATGCTCTTAATTGTAAGTCATACATACGAGAGATTTTTAGGTACAGGCTTTTATGTCTTGTTATGTATCCATTCAAAATGTACCCACAAAATAAGTTTTATGTATTCGAATCATACTTTGGTCTATTTTAATGAACCAAAATGCAGGAATCCCCTTTGTATTTTAAACAAACTCATGTTGTGACGTAACAAACAAATAAGCCCTTGCACAAAAAATTATCTCAATCAGGCCTAGAATACTTTTTTTCTCTATAAAGCTGTGTTCTTTCAAGATTTGAACCAGATTTCTTCATGTCAACTAGGGCATTTGTTTATGACAAGTTTAGTTTTGAATAAAGGCTTTATTTATGATTTTCTTTTTGTTTATCAACCCAATTGTTAATTAAATTAAAACTTAATTAGTTGACAAATTGGCCTTTCTAGAAGATGCATAAGTTCATAACCCTACGTAACTGTACTAACCATGGAGTCAAATTTTACACGATTTATAGTTGATATAAGGAAAACATAAGATACAAATTTAACTGTGTATTTTGGAGTATCAATAGTTAAGTTTGTATTTTATATCAGCTCTTGAGTTGGTGCAATGTCTGCCAAGCCCCAGCTCCCACTCACAGTTTATGGACTTTGGGCTGGTTTGGTATTACTGTGTTTTGAAAAAAAAAACTGTTTTTACTGTGCTGTGAGAATAAGCTTATTTTTGCTGTTTTACGTTTTCAGTTTTTTTTTTCACCCAAAACTGTGAAAATAAGCTGTTTTTAAGTGTTTACCAAACACTTTTTTGAGCTCAGTTTTTTTTTATACCCACTTTTTAAAAAATAATCTCAGTACCAAACCAGTATTTTATCGGTGGAAGAACTTTCTATGGGATTAAAATAAAATATGCATCACCTAATTTAAGCTAGTGCATCTCACGTTTAGGTAGTAGGATTCTCTCTCCCTTCAATTCTCTTCCCTTCTCTCCCATCTTCTCACACATTACTTTTTGTCTTATTGTCTTTAAAAAAAATATTAAAATAAAATGTTAACGTGACTTAACATTAACCGTTCAAGTAAAAGGGGAGGAAAGGGGAG